TCTTTGCCTTTTCAGCCTCTGTTGGCCATCTGCATTCGTTGGCTTGTGGCCCCTTCCTCCATCTTCAAAGGGCATGAACTACAGTCTCTGCTTCTATCTGCACATTGCCTCTCCTCTCTATCAAACCTCCCTCTACCTTCTCTCATAAGGATACTTGTGATTACATTTAGGATTCTTCTGGATAATCAAGAAGAATCTCTCCACCCCAGGATCTCTAAGCCTAATTATATCTGCAAAGTCCCTTTTGCCATACAAGGTAGAAGGAGTTGGCAGTGGGTAACTCTGGAGCCATTATTCATTCAGTTCACCACCTGCAGACACAGAGACAGGGCTTACCCCAGATGATGCTGCTGGTCATTGTTGGCATCTAGATCCATGGCAGACACCTTTAACTACCTTGCACATGGCCATGCACGGTCCTCAAAGAGACGTGCACTCAACAGTGAGCACAGGACACCAAAGCAACTACAATGACCTGGCCATGATGGCATTTCTGCTACCAAATGCTGCTCCCCAAAAGTCTAGAGGAGGCTGGTGATAAAGCAAAAATGAGCTTGCTGCTTACCACAGTCAGGGGAACACTACCTGGATTGTCTTAGGTTCATCTTGGAAAGGGTGGGACAAAGGAGGGACATTTATGAGGTTTTCATTGTCTAGCTTAAGGCAGGTTTTCAAAAAGGGAGGGTGATTAGGATTAGTTAGTGTTCATGATACACTCATTGAGGAGGGGTGTGTACCTCTCCTAAGGTATAACAGAGAATGTCCAATGTTCTTCATTGTAAACTGAGTAGCTGAATGTCGATTTAAGTTCATTTTGGAGAAGTCATTGAAATTAGCAAAAATGTTGTTTGATAAGTTTAATCTTCCTGGGCAAGAGTTAGCTGCAGTAGCAATGTCAGGTTGGTTAAGACAGTGGAAGAATAAATGGACGTTAGTGTAGACAGTAAATTAATGTGGGTGTAGATGTTTTGATTCTCAACACTGAGCCCACCAAAAATGCCTGGGTGAATCAGAGAAAAGATCGTGTCACAGTGTGAGGCTGTTGCCTCTGGAAAGCCCCCACTTCATAGAAAACCCAAGAAATTGAGAGAGGAGTGGTGAGGTGGGAGGGGAGACCCTGGGTGACCTACAGAGAAGGCAGCTGTTGGACAGGACATTTTCTTCCCAAGACTTCCAACAGTCACACCCAGAATGACTTCCACGGGTGTGTTCAAAAGGAAATGGAGAAGAATTCCTTAAGGGACAACTGCGTGTGCTGCAAGTGATTAGCCCACAGAATTCTGACCTGCACACCCACCAGCCATGCAGGAGTGCATTTCCACACTGGAAGAAACAGCATGCCAGTTACTGCACGCTGGGGTTAATTTTCAAAGTGGGCACAATGTGAGCCTTTAAAAAAAAAAAAAATTTGAAAAAACAAGGAAGCCATTCTGTTAACCACGTGGATCTACTTCCAATGAAAGTTCAGTCTGCAGCAAAAGGGGAGACAGAAATGAACAAGTACTGAGATTTTGACCTCATATTTTAACTTCTGTCACTTACTGGGAACCAATTTGTCAGCCAGATACATTATATAGCCAATTACCTCAACACGGGGGAAAGTCTTACTGCCCTCATTTTACGACGTGTGAATAAAGACCCTCTTCTTCAAAGGTTATTTGGCCACGGCCACACAGTAAGAGGTTGTGTTCTAAGGGTCTCCGTCTTTGCTTCACACCACGCAAATGTCTAGAAGGCAAGTATTTCTAGAAGGCAAGCCCCTCAGCTTCTGCTCCACTTACTGTTGCACAGTGCTGCGTTTGCACAGTATGTACATATAAATCCACACACTGGCATAAATCATCCACTGTAGTCTGTGGGTTTTTATTTCTGTCTCATAGAAAAAAAGAAATCCATCCCTAGAAAGGTCTCCTCCTTGGAAGTCCAAATGGTTATACAAATCCCTTCCCTGCCCTTCCCTGACTTCCCACAAAACTCAATATTCTTGCTGCCCAAATTCCTTTCCTGCAACCTAAAGACCCCCGAAACCCACTTTTACGTAATACTTCCTTATTACTCCCTAGACAACCTTCCTTGCAGCCATATGCTAATACACACCTCTCTTCTTTAAGCCAATATTTTTATGCCAGGTGCCCTTGCCAAAATTGTTCCCTCTCCCCTGGGAATGCGCTAACTCTAATGGCTCTGTTCTTGGCAAAGTCCTGTCTTAGCCTCCAGCTCGGAATTCAAGGCCCACCTCCTCTGCGAAGTATGCCTGGATGACCGGTGAAAAGTCTTGCCCTGACGCTGCTGCCCCTGGCTGCGCCTCTGTCATTATGCTCAGTGGAGAGCATCGTAACTCACAAGGGGCTCACCTGGCCAGTATGTGAACACCCTGAGGACAGGGAGTACATCTTCGCCATCTCTACTTCCCCAGAGCAGTGCCTGGCCTGGAGCAGATGTTTAGCTTGTTCAGTAAATTAGGATTGAATAGGAATGTGTTGATTTCTAACACGAACGCTTACTTTTCTGGGAAGATGTTTAGATGAGGAAATCATGTACTTTACTCCTATAACATATGGGAATTTCATCAACCTAGTGGGATATAGGTTGGAACGCTTACTTTTCTGGGAAGATGTTTAGATGAGGAAATCATGTACTTTACTCCTATAACATATGGGAATTTCATCAACCTAGTGGGATATAGGAGTTTCCCCTCAAAAACAACAATAACAAAAAATAGCAAAACTTTGGATAAGTGAATTGAAAACATAAACTCTGGTAGAAACAAGGATTTTTTTCTTCTTTTCTAAATTAGTACCACTTGGTTCAAGGACAAGAGGTCACCTTTGTCAAGTTTAAAATTTATTGGATTTCTTTTGCTTCTCTCAAATTTTAGATCCGTGACTTAAACATACTTCATGAGGAAAGTTACACTGTTCTCTTCATGTTGCTGTATATCAGAGAATAGAGATGCTTTACAAACAATGCTGTACTTCACAGGACTCCTGATAAATGAGTCAATAGACTTACCCCCATTTGGGGGGGGCAGGAAATCTCAGATACAAGTGAAAAAACATTTTATGCACAGAAGACACGCATAACTGAGCTGATATTAGAACACATAGTATTTACCATCACGCTCCAGGGTTGATTGTGAGAGCTGTTTCCCCTTCCATGATTCCCAAATATCCATTTCAGTTGAATAATTATGGAGTAAGCCCTGCTTTATGAATCAATTTGTAATATGCATTGTGGATGACACAGTGATAATCTGTGGTTCTCAGGATTGATGACCTACACATTAAAGAATGTAGAACAGTTTGAGAGATAACAAACCAAAAACAAACAAAATAACACATAAAAACAAACAAAAACATCCAAGAGATAGCACAAGGCAGTGTGAGATTGAGTGCCTGGCTCAGTTGTTTACCAAATCCTGTAGGAGTTAATAGGACAGAGTGGTCATTCTGAGCTAGAAAATTAGGGGCAAATCATGGGAAATGTGGGCTTTGAGCAGGAAGTCAAAGGTGGCAGGGTTTGGGCAGATGAAGGAAGCCAGTCAGCACTCTCCAGGAGGGAGATGTTTGGAATGAGGGCAGAGCCAGGATGATCCACTGCATGACCAGGGGGCCGAGAGTTGGTGTAATGTACCAATCAGTAACAAGGCTTCAAAGATGTTTAGATGAGGAAATCATGTACTTTACTCCTATAACATATGGGAATTTCATCAACCTAGTGGAATATAGGAGTTTCCCCTCAAAAACAACAATAACAAAAAATAGCAAAACTTTGGATAAGTGAATTGGAAACAAACAGAGGGGAGGGGGAGGATGCTAACTCCATATTATGGTGTTAGGGACTTTGTCTTGTAGGTTGCCTTAGTGACTGGGTTTTTTAACAAGAGAATAACACGCTTATTCTTGTTTTGTTGTTTTGCTTTGTCTCAAGGCAGGGTCTCACTCTTGCCCAAGCAGTAGTAGAGTGGCATGATCATAGCTCGCTGCAGCCTCAAACTTCTGGGCTCAAGTGATCCTCCTGCCTCAGCTTCCCAAATAGCTGGGACTAGAGGTGTGTGCTACCAGGCCCAGTTGATTTTTTGGTTTTTTTTGTATTTTTTTGTAGAGATGGGGTCTCACCATGTTCTCCAGGCTGGCATCAAGCAATCTTCCTGCCTTAGCTTCCCAAAGCACTGGGATTACAGACGTGAGCCACTGTGTCCAGTCCTTTATTTTCGATTTTCTTTTCTTTTCTTTTTTTTAAGAAAATGAATGTGGCCGGGCGCGTTGGCTCACGCCTGTAATCCCAGCACTTTGGGAGGCCGAGACGGGCAGATCATAAAGTCAGGAGATAGAGACCATCCTGACTAACACGGTGAAATCCCGTCTCTACTAAAAATACAAAAAATTAGCCGGGCGTGGTAGCGGGTGCCTGTGGTCCCAGCTACTTGGGAGGCTGAGGCAGGAGCATGGCGTGAACCCAGGAGGCGGAGCTTGCAGTGAGCTGAGATCGCACCACCGCACTCCAGCCTGGGCGACAGAGCCGTCTCAAAAAAAAAAAAAAAAAATTGAATGTGTCAAAGCTCTAAAAGATGGTGGAATGAGATGAGTGAAGCCACACCATAGATAAGTAGGTGACGCTGGGTATACCTGTGTGGTAATGGAGCCTGCCTGCACTAGGAGTGAGGCAGTGTGGATGAGAAGAAAGAGGAATTCAGAGAAGGCATGAAGAAAACAGCAGAGAGCTGACAGGGAGAATGAGCTATCATTGATACAAAGGAGGAAGATAAACTGAGAAACCAGCTTGGGAAAAATCGAGAGTTCATATGTAGTTTCTGTGTCTTTTTCCAAAGCACTGGAAGAAAGTATCCAAGCCACACTCAGGCTAAGAAGCAAGAAGCAGGAATCACGAGCTATCTTAAACAGAAAGGGATTTAATGCAGAGAATCAGACGCTTCCAGCAGGGTCAAAAAGTTGGAGAAGTATTCTGTGCCCTCGGCTCCAGGCATAACTCTGGAAGGCCTTTCTGATAAGCTGTGCTTACGGGAGAGGTTAGAACGGAGTATCGATCCACCAAAAGTGTCACAGAAACCTGTTTAGGTAACTCAGCATCTACACACCATTCCATACTGAATCTGCTGCCATACTGAATGAAAACAAATGATCCTGCCCAACACAATGGATTTATTCTTCATACAAATGAAAAGCAGCCCCACCTTCTCTGCAAAAGAAGAGCTATCCAGGGTCTTGTCCATCAGCACCTTCATTACTGGAGATGTTCTTGCCGGTCACAATCATAATCTCTGCAAACGAAAGACTATATTAAGGTGTCAATCACTGCCAACACATCTGTCAAATTAAAGAGAAAAGGAAAAAAGAAAAAAGGAACTTGGCTGATACATCTTTCACAGAATGAGCAAGAAATTGTAGTTAGTATAGTCCTCATTTCTACCAGCGATCACAAAGCCTCATTTCTATAAGTGATCATAATTATAATTATTTGCAATTGACTTCTTTTTGTCCACTCAAAAAACACTTTGGCTATTTGCCTGGTAAATGAAATCTTCATTCTTCATGGGCTTGAGCCCTTTGTGTCCTGTTTATATTGGATCGTTGTAGTCTTCTGTTAACTTTTGCCACTGGTTTGGCACTACTGATGTCGCTGATGATAACCTGGGGTTCAGCATTTCTGATCTGGGAACTGATGCTTTTAATCAAGGAAAGCACAAAGTTAGAGGAACAGGAAGTCAACATTTGTGAGTGGGCTATTCGCTGTAATAACAAAAGGGATTGTGGATTCTCACTTCCAGGAATCTGGGGCCCATATATTTTGGCCATTGGGAAAACAGCCTCACATCTTGGTCATCCTTTCAAAGTGCATACGGCATACTATAGGACATCACCCAATCTCACACGATGCCACTGATGGACGTTATCTGTGTATGCAAGAGGTCACTCTCCCATCTGTTAAGACCAGCTGCACATGCGTGTTGAGATAAAGAGGAAGATTGCAGAATGCCATAGGAATGAGGCCATTTCTTCACTTCTCTTGCTAGAATATGACTTATTAGGTCAGAAACAAGGTTTATGGGATACTGTAATCGTATTAATGGATTATTTTTGATGGTAGTACTGGCAGAAGCATTTCATACCCAAAATACCTATTCCATAGAGGACAGATAACTGTTTTTTTCACAATGAAAAGGATCTTATGTAATGAACCTTCCCCTGCGTGTCTGTCTGCCCCCAACAGAATGACTTCATATATGATACTTAATGTTGTCTACTCTTTTTTCTTTTCTTTTCTTTACTTTTATTTATTTATTTGAGATGGAGTCTTGCTCTGTTGCCCAGGCTGGAGTGCAGTGGTGTGATCTTGGCTCACTACAACCTCTGCCTCCAGGGTTCAAGCGATTCTCCTTTCTCAGCTTTCCAAGTAGCTGGGACTACAGGCACGCACCACTATGCCCAGCTAATTTTTTGTATTTTTAGTAGAGACTGTGTTTCACCATGCTAGCCAGGATGGTCTTGATCTCCTGACCTTATGATCCACCCACCTGAGCCTCCCAAAGTGCTGGGATTACAGGCATGAGCCACTGCACCCAGCCCAGCGTTGTCTACTCTTAATAGGAGGCGCATACAGCAGGGATGGGCCAACTCAAGCATATGGAGGGAAAGTCCATGTTGTGGAACTCATCTTTAATCTTCATTCCTGATACCATGGCTGTTTTATTCCTGAGCTCACTGGGAAAACACAGATGGCATAAGAAAAGGCTGGCTGACCTTCACAGGCTGGTCATCTCCCCACTTAGTTCCTGAAACACTTATCTGAAATTGATGTCCTGTGGTTAAGAATCATAGAGAACACAAGTATCTTATACTCTGTGCTTATGCCTCTTCTACAGAACTCTTTGTCACCGATTCTCCAGGGTTATTTCTTTCAGATTCTCAAGTATCCAACCTGCCATCGACTTCCTGTGAATCAGTTATGAGCTATACATCTGGACATGTATCCTTCCAAGAAAAAATGAGACATTTCATATTCTGCTCGATTTCCTCCCTTGGGAGAAATTCCCTTTACTACTCTTCTATCGGAGCAAACCTAAGAAGAGCTGCAGAAACCTCTCACGAGCTGTTACCAGCACACCATGCAGAACCTTCTGTAAACTAGCATCAACATTTGTTTTCCTCAGACAATCAAGGGAGGCCATAGCTGAGGGCTGGTTAAAAGAGAGACACCTGTGCGGCATTGGTGGGCGTGCTGAGAGATAAGTCTCTGGATCACACTTATGCTCAGCCTCACATATGCCACTTTCATTCCACCCCGTGCTGTTATAAAAGTCAAACTGTGTGACTCACGATTTAGATCTTATGGTCTATTTAGATCTTGATGTCCCATAGTTAGGCATCTGGTTTCTACCAGGACCCAAGAGCAACAAAGAGCCATTTCGGGGGGGAAAAAAAATTGTAGTTATTTTCCAAAAAAGCATTACTAGGTGATATGGTTTGGATTTGTGTCCCCTGGCCAAATCTCATGTCAAATGGTAATCTCCAACGTTGGAGGAGGGGCCTGGTGGGAGGTGACTGGATCATGGGGGTGGAGGTCCCCATTGCTGTTCTCCTGATAGTGAGTTCTCACAAGATCCGCTTGTTTAAGAGTGTGCAGTGCCTTCTCCTTCTCTTTTTCCCTCCTGCTATAGCCCATGTAAGATGAGCCTGCTTGCCTGCTGCCTTCTGTCTTGATTGTAAGTTTCCTGAGGCCTCCCCAGCCATGATTCCTATACAGCCTGTGGAACCATGAGCCAATCACATCTCTTTTCTTTATAAACTACCCAGTCTCAGGTAGTTCTTTATAGCAGTATGAGAATGGACTAAGACACTAGGCTTGCAATAGTTTCCATGAAGCATCTGGTCCTTCATATTGCATCAGCTGGGATACCAGACAGCAGATCTCATTGCCCCCTCTAGCTTCAAGCTCTCCTTAAAACCATATTTTCAAGGTACTCAATAAGTGGGTTGGAGCAGCATACCCAAAGGAGGTATACTCTGCCTCCAAAATAAAATTAAAAAAAAAAAAAAAGCCTAACTAAATGAAAAAGGAGCATTGAGCTTCAGTTCAATATCAGATGGAATGAAAGTTTAATGCTTATTTTTTAGTTAGAGGGTGTGAAATACCAACAATTGACTTTCAGTCCCCATCGTTGGGTTACATCTGGACTAGCAGAAACTCCAAAGTTGTGGTGGCCCTTGCAAATTTTCATTGGGATTATCTCCCCTACTCTATCTTACATGTGATTGACAGGATATTGCTGGCTTACCTAGTTCAATAAGTATGATGTCATCAAGAAATTGAACCAATATACTGCCCTGTAGAATGGCAAGGTAGTCGAGTTCCCTAGGGTTAAATTGTGATAGAGAATAAGAATGCTGGTATCTAGCAAAAGTAAGAGTCCAGAATATCTGATACATTTTGCCCAAACTAATGTTCCTTTTACCCTGGTTTAACAACTTTGTAATATATGACAAGACATATTACCCAGCTTCTTCTGTAATTCAATATGAATAAATGTAAATTAATGTAAATAAGTATAAACAAATTGTAACACATCATAATTACTTTGATGAGTAACTCCTTTCTTCCTGAGTCAGATTCTATACTGTGCCTCTAGGGTATGCAGTGATCCGATTATAAGTACAGGTGTAGAGGCAATTGGGGAGGTAGAAGTTGGTATGGGAAGAACTGTCCTTTCTTTCAAGGTAACTATATTAAGTGGTGTAAGATTGGCCTCATCAAAGGAGGAGCCTCTGTTAGCAGGAGAAGCTCCGAAGTCTTCATTCCTTGTCTCCTATTCTTACTCCTAACCAAAAAATTCCTATATTTGCTAAAGAAGACCTCGTGGATGAAGTTCTGAATCAATTTACACTGTAATTCAGTCATGCACATGATTGGTCTCCATTTGGGATTTTTGGCGACATCAGGCCAGCAGCTACAAGAGATAAGCAATCATTTAGGACTTAGAGGCTTGTCACTGGACATACCTTGAACTGAGAATGTAAACCCCCGAGCTGGCATTTTCTTTCTTTGAACCTTTCAGTCTGGTCATGAGCAGCCAGGCCCCCACCCTTCTTAGAGTCCTCATTCTTACTATGATGATGCTGCAGTCACTGGGTCCTCCGTCTGCCTTCGACAGGCTTTGTATTCCCAGGGACCACAGGCGATAATTTAAGTAGCTGTTTCCCAGTGTGTCATGTGTCCAAGTTCTCATTTACTAGTGGTAATTAGGTTCTTACTGCCTTCAAATCCAACCAAGGCTGATAAGCAGTTCTACGGTCTTGTTCTTGAGGGACTGTTGCCTACAACTACTTTGTCTAGCAAATTCCATGTTAGTAAGCATTAAATTATAAGAAATAAAAACAGGCACAAAAAGACAAATACTGCACGATCTCACTTACATGCGGAATCTTAAGAAGTTGTTCTCATAGAAACAGAGAGTAGAGAGGTAGTTACCAGAATGGTGGCTGAAGGGGTAGGGTAAGGGGAGATGTTGGGAGCTAAACAATGTGTACCCATGGACATAGAGAGCAGAATAATAGACATGGAGACTAGGAAGGGTGGGAATGTGGGAGAGGTGAGGGATAAGAAATTACTTAATGAGTATAATGTACACTACTCCAGTAAAGGTTACACTAAAAGCCCAGCCCCTGTCATCACCACACAATATATCCATGTAACCAAAAATTGCACTTATACCCCTAAATTTGTACACATGTTTTAAACAAGATACAAAATTTCAATTAGACTAGAGGAGTAAGTTTTGGTGATCTACTGCATTGCATGATGACTACAGTTAATCATAATGCATTGCATATTTCAAGGCTGTCTAGACCCTCCAATCCACACACAAAACAATAAGTTGGTGAGGGGATGGATATATTAATTTGCTTGATTTAATTTTTCTACAATGTATCTATAAATCAAAACAGTACATTGTACCCCGTAATATACACACTTGTTAATTTAAAATATATAATTTTTTTAAGCTAACCATTTTAAGTAGAGAGGAATTTAAAATGGAGTGTCCACAATATTGCTGTACACTGGGTTGGAAAACTGGTTCCAGCCTGGGCCTTCAGAAAGGACCCCAGAGCACTGCAGGCCAAAGTAGACCAAAGGCTGCTACCTCTGCTGAGTGAGGAAGGCACAAATTCAGGAGAGGATGCACTTGATGTCTGCAGGTCCTCCTTTCCTAGCGAAACAAGAAAGCTCCAGCCATCTCTGCTGCAAAGGGTCTTGATGCCTACA